ACAGTACAAAAGATAAAAGAAGTCTGGAGAAGGGGTTTCAAGTTCAGCTTGAGGCATTTTGATTTGGCAATGAAGCCTCTTCCATGAGACCTTTCTAGGCTGGAAATGACCCTTCCTTTATGTTCCATAGTATATTGTATATTTTTTTTATATCACATTGTTTAAATCTGCTTTGTTTACAAATACAGTAGGTATCCTCAGAAGACTGATCCCGGAATCAGTATCTTCAGGATCCCTGAGGATACCAAAATCTGGGGTGCTCAAGTTCCTTATATAAAATGGTGTAGTATTGGGCTGGGGTTGTGGCTCAATGGTAGGGTGCTTGCCTAGCATGCATGTATGAGGTACTAGGTTCAATCCCCAGTATCACATTAAAAAAAAACTAAATAAACAAAATAAAGTATTGTGTCCATCTACAACTAAAAAAAAAAAAAGAGTACAATGGTGTAGTATTTACATGTCAGCTAAAAACATTCTCCCATATGCTTTAATTTTCAAAAATTTCATGGTGTATTTTATTTAACTGAATGTACCCCAAATATTATCATTCCAATATGTTGTCAATATAAAAGTCATTATCAAGATTGTTTACATTTTTTCTTTTGTAAATTCTTTTTACATTCTTTCTTAAGTCTTTGATATGCAGTGTATATTTTATGGTTGCAGCATATGTCAATTTGGACTAGTCCTTAAAATGGACTTAATAGCAATATGTGGTTAGTGGTCACTATACTGGACAAAATAGCTTAAAGCATGCAGCATAAGGGAGTCAACATCTACTTTGCAATATATTTTAAAATATTCTACTTAGGACCACTGGCAAAAATTGAAGTACAATGGGTATGTGCTGGTTTCTCCAGGAAATCCACTGACACAAACAAAAGAACAACAATAACAATAAAAAGGTTAGACAAATTCATGTACAAACAAGGAAATAATTACAACCTCCAAAACTTAGCTTGAAAAGAAGTATGGCTCTCCAGATCTGGAGCAAGGTTAGTGAATAGAAAGATGTTGGCAGTTCCTCAGAGGTTCATTTACTTAGAACAATGTCTCCAATATACTTTAAATCATTTCAAGATAACTTGTAATACCTAATCCAATAGAAATGATATATAAATAATTATTGTACTCTATTGTTTAGGGAATAACAACAAGAAAAAAATGTACATATTCAGTACAGTTTTTTTTTCTTTGTGTGTGTGTGTGTGTGTGTGTGTGTGTGTGTGTGTGTGGTATTGGGGATTGAACCCAGGATTACTTACCCACTGAGCCACATCCCCAACCCTTTTTGTAGTTTATTTTGAGACAGGCTCTTGCTAAGTAAGTTGCTTAGGGTCTCAATAAATTGCTGAAACTGGATTTGAATTCATGATCCTCCTACCTCCGCCTCCTGAGCCACTGGGATTACAGGTATGTGCCACTGCATCCAGGAAGATAGACATAATTAAAAAATTTTTTTTGATCCAAGATTGGTTGAATCTGCAGTTGCAGAACCTGCAAATATGGAGGGAAAACTGTATTTACAAGTTTGTCTCTACTTTAAATCTTGAAGAAAAGGTACTTCTTGGATAAGAAGTACTATCTTTATATTACTCTGATGACAATGCCTTACTTGCAGAAAAATCCTCCAAGTTTGCTTTTTTTTTTTWAATTTTTTTAAAATACTGGGTATTTAACCGTGGGGTACCTAACCATTGAGCAACATCCCAGTCCTATTTATTTGTTTAGAGATAGGGTTTCAGTAAATTGCTTAGGGTCTCACTAAGTTGCTGAGACTAGCTTTGAACTTGCGAGCCTCCTGCCTCAGTCCCCCAAGTTGATGGGATGCCCAGCCTGAGTCTGCATTTTGAAAAGGCAGCTCCCTTCATCAGATACTGGAAACTGTCAGCTAACATCAAAACAATGATCAAAATTAAACATCTCATTTTTTTACAAGGGTAGAACCAAGGCATGTTGTTTAGGAATTACAATTGTTCCCAAACACTTTTTGTATCTCAATAGCTCATGGGTATTTCCTTTAAAACTCAGTAAGTTGATCCTAAATCTCTATCTTATCTCCCCCCATACTTTGCTTCCTTAATCTTAAGACTTGCTGAGTGATGAAGATCCATCTTCTATGGCTGCTTCAGGCTAACAGGGGGCAATGACCCTGTCTAGTCATCAAGTCTCATCTTGCCTGATGTGGGGGCCTATCATCTCAGCAGCTCAGAAGGCTGAGGAAGGAGGCTTTCAAGTTCAAGGCCAGCCTCACCAGTTTAGTGAGACTCTAAGCAACTTAGAAAATCCCTGTTGCAAAATAAAAAATAAAAAGGGCTGGGGATGTATCTTGGTGATAAATTGGTAAATTGCCCCTGGGTTATATTCCCCAGGACAATCAAACAAACAAAAAACTTAAGTCTCAAGTTGTGGAGTTGTTTCGTGTGTGTGTGTGTGTGTGTGTGTGTGTGTGTGTGTGTGTGTGTATGGTGTTGAAGATCAAACTCAAAAGAGCTCTAACACTGGGGTACACCCTAACCCTTTTTTCATTAGTTCATTATAGATATATATAATATTAGGGTTCATTTTAACATAATTACACAAGCATAGAATAKAATTTACTCTAGTTCAATCCCCAGTACTTCTTTCCCTCCCCTTCACCCTCCCTGTTCCCTTTCCTCTACTGATATTTCTTCTATTTATTTATAGTTTTTTAACATTAGTACATTATCAATATACATAAAGGTGAAATTCACTGATATATTCATATATGTACATAGGAAAATTTAGTTAGATTCACTCCACAGTTCTTCTCTTTTCCCATCTCTCATCCCTCCCCCTCAATCCATTTTCTCTATTCCACTGACCTCTCTTCTATTTTCATGAGATTCTCCTATTCTCCCCCTTATTTTGGTCTAGCTTCTACATATGAGAGAAAACATTCAATGCCTGGCTTTTTGAGTCTGGCTTACTTCACTTGTCTAATGTTCTCTAGTTCCATCCATTTACAAGCAAATGACCTAATTTCATTCTTCTTTATGGTTGAGTAAAATGCCATTATGTATACTACATTTTAAAAAAATATTTTAAATTGTATATGGACACATCTACATTTTTTTACCTTACTTATTTATTATTTATTTTTATGTGGTGCTGAGAATCGAACCCAGTGCCTCACACGAGAGGCAAGCGCTCTACCACTGAGCCACAACACCAGCTCCACATTTTCTTTATTAATTCATCTGTTGTTGAGCACCTAGCCTGGTTCCATAGCTTGGCTATTGGTGAATTGTACTGCTATAAACATTGATGTGGCTATATCTCTATAGTATGCAAATTTTAGATCTCTTAGATATATACCAAGGAGTGGGATAGCTGGGTCATGTGGTAGTTTTATTCCAGTTTTTTAAAAATATTTTTTAAGTTGTAGATAGACACAATATCGTTATTTTTATCTATTTATTTAATGTGGTGCTGAGGATTGAACCCAGGGCCTCATGAGTTTGAGGCAAGTGCTCTACCACTGAGCTACAACCCCAGCCCTTATTCCCAGTTTTTTTTGTTTTTTTTTTTTAAGGAATCTCCATACTGCTTTCCAGAGTGGCTGCACTAATTTGCACTCCCACCAACATGTATGAGTGTACCTTTTCCCCTACATCCTCACAAATAATAAATACTTATTATTTGTATTCTTTCTTAAATTTTTTTTTTAGTTGTAGTTGGACTCAATACCTTTATTTTTTTATTTTTATGTGGTGCTAAGGATAGAACCCAACACATTGCCTGTGCTAGGCGAGTGCTCTACTGCTGAGCCACAACCCCAGGCCCTTATTTGTATTTTTGATAATCACCATTCTGACTGGAGTGAGATGAAATTTTAATGTGGTTTTGATTTGCATTCCTTGATTGCTAGAAACTCCCAACCCTTATCTTAAACAATTCTGCAAGGTAGTCATTGCTTTCCTATTTTACAGACAAACCAGCAGAAGCCTCAAGTGACTGAAAAACTTTCCTGAGGTCACATGGTTTCCAAGTGGTTAAACCAGGGTTTAAGCAGACTGGTTTCATCACCATGGTGCCTGCCAGAGGGAAGCTGGCTTTGATGTCCTAATTAAAAGAGCTGAGAAGAGGACTATTTCCTGGCTCACGCTTACCATCTTAGCTTAAGTCTAAAGCACCTCACCCGTGCAAAGTACCCACACTGGAACACTACTACAGAAAGTAGAGCTGAAGGGGAATCCAGCGTCCAGAGAGGGTGTCCTGCCCAGGGACCCCTCATTTTACAGTACTGACTCCACTAAGGTCTGTGTGATCGCAGGTTTCTATTGCCCATCACTTGACCTTTGGCGCAAACGAAGTCGCCATGCCCAGTTAGTTACGGCCAGGACTCCCAAGACTCTGGGCCTAGGGAGTTAGAAATCCTCAGACACCAAGGGCTTTATAAGACAGAGTTGCTACCTCCTACCCATGGGGCACTAAAAGTAATCCTGTACCTTTCTCGGCAGTCCGGTGCGGTGGGACCGCCCAGCTTGCTACACCATTCTGCGGAACCAAAAGCAAAGTAGAGGCAGGACCAAGCCCCAGCGAAGATCTGAGAGTCGACCTGACCGTTGACTTCAGACCCGCGCCTTAGCCCCCCAGAAGACCGCGTCTAGGTCTCGCTCTCTGCTTCTCCAGAGCCACTCCCCAACACYGTGGGGCAGGTGAAAGAGGTACCTGAGGGCGAGGAAGGGTAAGAAAGCGAGAGAACCCCCTCCTCTGACCCCGGCACCTGCGAGGGAAGCAGGAAGGAGCAGCCTGTTGCCACTCTGTGCACCCGAGGCGCGGGTGGTGGTCCAGCTGCGGAGGGGTAGTCTAGGCGCGAGTCAAAGAGGCGCGAAGGGCCAGGGGCAATCCGGGTCGCACAGCGGGCGGAGGTCCGCGGAGTGGGCGTGTCCGCCTGTARGCCCGCCCAGTGGGGGAGAGGGAGGGCGCCCCAGTAGAAGGGAAGGCGAGTGCGCGGGTCTGGCCCCGGCTGCCTGCTCCTCCTACTTTTCTTGGGGCCAAAGGGTAGGCCGTTCCTCTCGGAAGTAAACGCTGGAGGACTCTAGCCATGGCGGGAGCTGAGTGGGAGTCGCTGGAGCAGTGCTTGGAGAAGCATCTGCCATCCCAAGACTTGCGGGAGGTGAAGCGAGTTCTTTATGGCAAGGAGACCAGGTCAGGGGCCCAGAGGCAGAGTTGCGCGAGGTGTGGGTCTCGGGAACTAAGAGGGCTTCAGGGTCTCAAGCGCTTTGAGGTGACGGTGATGAGGTCCTACATAGGCGGGCAAAACTCATAGAAATCATAGATAACGACAGCCCCGGGCCGTGAGGGGTTGCATGATTCCAGGGAGACCCTCACACATTATGCCTGGAACTAGAAGGGAAAGGAAGGGTTTGAGATTTACTTTCCTGGGCTTTCTCTGTGGCCACACCAGCACTCCTTTGCCCTTTGAGCAGTTTCTTTTCCAGAACCAGGCCTGCCCTCCGCGGGGTTTGGCTGAGTAAATGCTTCCAAACGGAGCCCCCTAGTCAGTGCAGTTGATTGTCTGGCTCCAGTCTCTCCTGCCTGGAGTGACTGCCTTCTGGACCCTTATTGGTAGAGTTCAGCTGAATCTAATTGGCAAAGGAAACTTTTCCACTGGCAAGCAAGGGTTTAGTTACTATGTTCAGTAAAAAAAAGTTTTTCCACCCCTAGCTAATCATGTGTGTCACCAGAACTCTCTGAGRGCAATGCACTATTGGATGGACACTAGATATAAAGAGCTGGAAAAGACACTTCGCTTCCATTGTTGTTTCTCTTTAGTCCAGTCTTCTCTGGAACTACCAGAAGGACCTTTTTAAAATGCAGATCACATCCTGTTGCCTTTTACTTAAAAATATAAGGGATTTTCCTGGTCTCTTAGAATGAACTTCAAACTCTGACCCCAAGAAGCCCTGGCTAAATCTCCTTCCACTTCCTTGTTCATTTGTGGGCTTCTTGCCTCCCCGAAGTCCAGCAGACTACCTGCTCCATGACCTTGTGCAAGTGGCCTTCCAACAAGAACCTAATCTGCTCATCTGCAACTAGAGGGCATTGACTGAATCAATGGTTCTCAATCACTATTGGAGTTCTGGCAGGGAGACCAGACCAAAGATGTTTTCACAGCTAGAGGATATCTAAAGGTAGAATAAAGCTGCCTTTGGGGTTTAGTTAAAAAAAAAAAAAAAAGAGGCTCTTCATACCCAAAGAGGAATTAGATAACCTTTAAGGTCCCTCTCAGTGTGTCCAATGCTRTACTGTACTTCCCAGTGCACTTATAAGGTTGTTATCTGGGAAGTATCTTAGCACTAAGGCTCCCAAAGAAGATGTCTTAAATAAAGCGAGGGTATATCTCAGGCTACAGTTAGTAGGAATGGGAATTAATTTATTTTAAGGGTGAGGTGAGCATATTCACATGTTCTGCTGAAAAAAAAAAAAAACCTAGTGAGCTAATGGGTGTCAAGAGAGGTAAAACTGCAGCATACTAGGAAAAAAGAAATACTTCCCCACATAAGTGGCTGACTGGGACATATTCTGAAATTAGGGCTGAGGTCAGGCCAAAGACAACCATGCTAGAGGGTTTTTTTTTTTTTTTTTTTTAATCAGTATTTGGAGAACTCCAGAATAGAGAGGGATTATGGGTGGGGAAAGTGCTAACAACATCTATTATTGACCAGTGTCTGTCAGGCTTTGTGTTGGGACTTATAATAACTGAGCAAATGGCTCCCCTTTTTCTACTTTTTCTTCTTGGTTGTGTTCTGTTCAGTCTCTCTAGGTTTTAGCACTTGGGTGTAAACCCTCGTACTTGCTCAATCCTTGTGATTGGGTAGAATTCAGCTATGAGCAGGATTTCCAACTGAAGATAGAAAATTAATTACCTCCTGCTTAATCTATGCACTGCTTAGAGCCTAGCTTGGACATGGTCACCTCTGTGAAGGCCTTGTGGTTCTGGAGTCCTCAGTCCCTCCGCTGGACTCCCACTCTGCTCCCTACAAGACCACCTTCTCTCTGATTACTTGTTGTGCCTAATGCAGACAATGCTTAGCTGGGCACAGTGATACTGGGGGAAAAAAAGAAAGAGAGCTAATGCTTGGTAAATGTTTGCTAAGTGAATGAGCTAAATGGGCTTTTGCCTACACCAGACAGATGAAATCCCCAGAGGACATCAACTCTCATTTTAAGATAGTCAGTACTAAGAAGCATTCATTCATTCAACAAACATTTATTGATCATTTGTTTTTGTCTTGGGCACCTGGGATACTAGGATAAGAAACCAGTGAGGGTTTTGTTGTTTGTTTTGAAGTGCTAGGGATCCAGTTCAGAGTTTTGTGCATGTTAGGTATGTGCTCTGTCACTGAGCTGTACCCACAGCTCCCACTTTCCATCTTTTGATGACTGTTTTACATTGTGAAAGAAGGATAAAGGAGAGCCTAACAGAATTTACCTGTTTGTWGTTCAAGGATGGCAGGAAGGTTTCTCCAGGGCTGTCATACTTAAGCTATATCCTGAAGGAGAAAAGGGGTTCATTTGGAGACAGGAAGGGCTTGTGTCTCCAGACACCGGGGGACATGCCTAGTCATGGACTGCATGTTTGAAAGAGGAGGTCATAGAGTAGATTGAAGAAACCCAAAAGGAGAAGGCAGGAGTGGCCAGTGTAGATCCATGCGGGCTCTGTATGCCATGCTGTAGCAGTGGACATTCATCCTTACAGTAGTGGAAACATTGGGGCATTTTCCACAGTAGCCAAGTCAAGAATGGACTGGAAAAGGACAGGTGAAGGATGAGAGGGCTAGAGGCAAACAGAGCACCTGGGGATGGAGAAGTGTCAGGGGCCCAGTGGACAGTGGATAGGAGGTGTGGCACAGGTGGTGAGGATCATTCCTGGCTTTTGGCTTCCACCCCACAGGTGACTGGTGGTTTCCTATGAGGAGGATCAGCCTTGGAGAATAATGATGAGTTCAACTTTGGATGAATTGAGTTTGGTGTGTTATGTAGTTCCTAGGGCTGCCAAAATTGTAATAGTGAGCTTAAAACAGCAGTAATCTACATTTTCACAGTGGTAAAGACCAAAAGTACAAGAGCAAGGTGTCTACAGTGCCACACTCCTTCCAGATGCTCTGGGGGAGAATTCTTATTTGCCTTTTTGTAGTCTCTGGTGGCTTCTGGGGTTCCTTGGCTTGTGGCAACCAATCTCTGCCTTCATCTTCACATGGCCTTCTCCTGTTGTCCCTGTGACTGTCTTCTTGGTGTCTTTTTTTTTTTTTTTTTAAGAGAGAGGAGAGAGAGAGAGAGAATTTTTAATATTTATTTTTTAGTTTTCGGTGGACACAACATCTTTGTTGGTATGTGGTGCTGAGGATCGAACCCGGGCCGCACGCATGCCAGGCGAGTGCGCTACCGCTKGAGCCACATCCCCAGCCCATTCTTGGTGTCTCTTATAAGAATAATTATCGCTGGGCTGGGGATGTAGCTCAGCAGTAGAGTGCTTGCCTAGCTCTAGCTTGCTTGAGGCCCTGAGTTCCATCCCCAGCACTGCAAAAAGCAACCGTCAAACAAACAAACAAAAAAAACTTTTCATTGGATTTAGGGCTTATCTGAATAATMTAGGATGATCCTATCTTGAGATTCTTAACTTAATTACATCTGTGAAGACCCTTTTTTCCAAATAAGGTCACATTCATAGATTCTAAATATTAAGATGTGGATATAGTTCAACCCCTGATAGGTACTCTTGGGGTCTCCATTTAGAGATGTCCAGTGGCTCTTTGTTGTATGGAGGAAGACCTGATGGGGAGAAGCTGTTTTAGAACTGTGCTGGAGATGATCCTCCCAGGTGGAGAAGCAGGTGCAGCATGGGAGAGGCCCAAAGGGAATGCTGGAGATTCCAAATATTAGAATAGTCAGAGAAGCAGAGACTCTGAAGGTGAGGATGTATAGGTGGGAGGACTCTAGAATGGGAGAGGAAAGAAGCATTAGATAGTATAGGGATGTTTGTTAGTCAAAGACAATTTGGGCTTAAATGATGAAAATGCACAGGGYGGTTCCTACAATAGGTAGCAGGGTCCTGAGAACAGCGGGCTGAAAAGGGTGTAGGAGGTGAGGGCTGAGCTGAAAGGAAGTGTATGTAGAAGCTTCCTGTGGAGGAGGGAGAGCAAGAAGGATGTGTGGAGTGCTCTCTCTGTCTGTCTCTCTCTCTCTCTCTCTTTTTTTTTTTTTTTTGGTGGTGCTAGCCTTGTGCATGCTAGGCAAGCACTCAACCAACTGAGCTATATCCCCAGCCCTGCTCTGTTTTTTTTTTTTTTTTAAATGGGAGAGACTCAAACAGCTTTAATTGCTTTAATAGTGAGTGTGGTGGGTCTATATGTAGTAACACGGAGAGATGCCCAAGTTATGTAGTCAGTCATATGTCACCTAATGATGGGGATATGTTCTGAGAAACACATCCTTAGGTGATTTTGTGGTTGAGTGAACATCATAGAGTTCACTTACAGAAACCAGATGGCATAGGTCAATCAATGTGGCCTTTCAATGTAGCAATGTGACAACTCAGTGTGGTCTCATTTTTTTTTTCTTCCAGTGGTGCTGGGGATTGAACCCAGGCCTCACACAGCCTGCCTAGGCATATTCTGTACTACTGAGCTATACCTCAGACCTTTGATGTGGTCTCTTGATATAATCAGCAGGTATAGAAAACATGATCTATATGAGGCTGCTGATGGTATAACACATTGTATAAATAGAAAGTACACTCTAAAATAATGATTAAAAAGTATAGTAAATGCAAAAGCCAGTAATACTATTGTTGATTATCATTATCAAGTGTTATGTAACCATATATAATTTATGTGCAATATATATGATTGGTAGCACAATAAGTTTGTCTACGCCAGCATTACCACAAACCTGTGAATGACACATTACACTACGGTGTCATGATAGCTATGATGATAGGAATTTTTCAGCTCCATTATAATTTTATGGGACCACAGTCGCTTATACATTCCATCTGTGATAGAAATGTTACATAGTACATGACTATGTATTGTCAAGTGAAAAAGGCAAGTTGAAGAATATAAAATGCAGCCTGATGATTGCATTTGTAATACCTGTACCTACATAGAAAAACTGTGGAAGGAGGCACAAAACATTACTAAAAGGGATCATCTGCAAGGTTTGGGCCTAGGGCTTGGGGGGAACTTATTTTTCTTTTTATATCCTTTCTAAATTTCCCCCCTCCATGGRCATTTTCTCTTGTAACAAATCTCTAGTTTAATAATTTAAAATACTGATGGTAAATARTCAATAGAGGTGGAAAGATAAAGTGCCTGAAGTGAGAGGCTGCTGAGGATGCTTGGGGCCCTTAGGCCAGGTCTGCCTTGACCCAGGAAGGAGAGATGGGGGCCCAAGAGGGTGTGTTGCAGCCAGGACAGGAAGTGACAGGCTCTCTCCTTCTTGAAGATGGAGCTGAGGCCAGGAGAGGGGGTGGTTTCAGTTGCAGGGTGATGGATAGAGGGATTGAAAGTCAACTACAGGGGCCAGGGTTGGGCTGTAGKTAACCACAGATCCCCCTGGTGAGGCTGTATCTCATTTTCTGGTCCCTGTGCCTTCCTGGACTATGGGTGAATAGGACCTGTCTTAGTCACCGTAGACTGGGTGACTTTTCAACCATTGAAATGTATTTTGAATGCTCAAAAGTTCATTAACAAGGCTTTGGTAGATTCAGTGTCTGGTGAGGATCAGTTTCCTGTTCATGATCTATGCCTACTCCTACTTGCTATGTGTACGAATGGTGCAAGGGGCAAGCAACGTCTTTGAGGCCTTTTTGGTTTTATATTCCTTTTTTTTTTTTTTTTTTTTTTTTTTAGTGTATGTGTATGTGTGTGTGTATGGTACAGGGGATTGAACCAGCGGCACAGTACCACTTATTTCTTTATCTTGAGAGGAGCTGTCACTGAGTTTCCCAGGCTGGCTTCAAATTTGTGATCCTCCTGCCTCAGCCTCTCCAGTCACTGGGATTACAGGTGTGTGCCACCATACCTGGCTAGGCCAATTTATATATATATATATATATATATATATATAGGCACTAATTCCATTCTTAGGGTTACATCCCTGTGACCTAATCGTCCAAGGGCCCTATTATTTTGGAGGCTGGATTTTGACATGTGATTTTGGGGGGACACAAACATTCAGTCCATTGCAGTACCCCACTGCATCCTCCATCAGATAACCCAAGTTCCCCTTGTGAGGTTGTGGTTCATTTCTGGTCCAGACCTTTGAAGGACCAAGCACAGGGTATACCTTGAGGGTAGGTTTTGATCTCTTAGACACTGTAGGGTAAGAGATTTTATAGCTAGTGACCAGAAAATAGAGATGCTAAAGAGAGGTGTATCCCCAGAGGTGGCTGAACTGGAGGGTGGAGCAGCCCTGCCCTGCCTTGCCTCACCTTGGGCATAGAAAAAATATCCACAGGGATTGTGGAATGAGGGAGTACACAGGCTCAGGGCCAGCAGGCAGCACTTGACATAGCCAACCGGTGGGGAGATTAGGGGATAATACGACTGATGGTGGCAGAAAGAGAAAACAGCTGTGAGCCATGAACAGAGAGGGATGTCTGCCAGGTTACAGCCAGGCTTCCTCACCAGACAGGAGCCAGGCTCCTCCACCTGACATCTTCCCAGACTAAAACCATAAGGATATTTGCACAGGGCAATTTGTCCCCGGGGACCCACCAGCCTTTGGAGGGAAATAAAACCTTTCTCCTATTTTCTTCCTGTGGCTGCTCATGCATCCTCAGATAGTAGCTCCTGGAAAGCTGTGTGACTGTGTCCATGGAGGATGACTTGCCCTGAGGCTGAGGCCTGCGAGAGGGGGACGAGAGGGGACTCTTCCGTCCGGGGGTGGGAGGTACAGCGAGGGGAGGCGAGGCGAGGTGTGGGCACTGCTGCTATTTCTAACCTGCCAGCGGGAAGGGAACCTTGACTGTTTGAAAAGCAGGCTGATTGTCAGGGGCGGAACCCAACTCAGAGCTGTCAGGGCCCGTCACTTGGAAAGCGCCTGGCAGGGGGCGGCAACAGGGGGCTTGGGCTGACAGGGCTGTGATTTTGAAAGAAATGTCTTTAAGAAAGTGATTTAAAGTAGGAGAGAAATATTATTATTAGATAATGGCTGTCAGGTTATTTTTTGATGTGCTCTCTGGGTATTTCATAATCATCTCACCCTTAGATGGTAAGTCCTTCCTGGCCCAGGGCCATGAACTATTCTTCTGGGGTTTTACCCCAGCTCCTGGCATGTAACAGGTTATGAGAAGTTACTTGCTGTTTGACCAGTGGCCACTTTGGTGGATAGTTTTATAAATAATTTTCTAGCCTTTGTTAATAAACCACAAACTTGGATGAACACCTGGACCTTCAATCTGGATCCTTGGGCCTTCACCTGGATCCATCAAACCCCACTCCCAACACCAGGCATGGAACTGGATCCCTAATGGGAACAGTAGAGGACAGGACCTGGGGATGACCCACCCAAGACTCAGCTTCCTTAAGGGCAAATGGCCGCAGGGCCCTCCTCCTAGTATCAGTTCTTGGCCTCCATTCAGCCTGTCTCCTGAGCCGTATCCTCTGCAGCCCTTTTCTGTGATCACAGCCTGTGCCATTCCCTAGGATCAGCAYGGCCCTCTGATTCTAGATCAGAAGAAGCATGTTTTGGAACTACTCCCTCCTTTCTGTGCTGACTGTTGGAACTTTGATCCCTGCCCTGATTTCCATAACTGCAAAACACTAACCTCTTGGCTGGTTGTTCTTCCCCCACTCTGCCAGGCCTAAGTGTGCTAAAGTCTATTGACTATTAGGTAGAGTCTGGACTCAGCATAGTGTCTATTCATGGCCTAGCCCTCCTGCTTCCTAGCCACCTTGGGCCCTGGCACTGGACACCCTTGGCCAAGGACACTCCCAAACAACTGCGGAGAGTCTGGGTTTTTCCCCCTGTCGCCCTGGGGATGGAACCCAGGCCCTCAAGTGTGCCGAGTCTACCCTGTCCCACTGAACTACACACCTATCCCTGGGAGAGGAACTTTAGATGCAGCAAATGTCATCAAAATCCTCTTCCTTCTTCTGCTCATTTAGGAAGCTTGATCTGCCCAGCAGAGCTTTCGAAGTTGCCTCGGAAGGAAACTTTGAACTACAGGGATATGCCTTTGAGGCAGCCAACGAGCAGCTGAGACACCCCCAGATCGTGCGTGTGGGGCTAGTTCAGAACAGAACCCCACTCCCTGCGGATACCCCTGTGGCAGAACAGGTACAGCCCTCTCTCTCTCTCTCTCTCTCTCTCTCTCTCTCTCTCTCTCTCTCAATTCTTTTTTTAACCTTTATTTATTTATTTATTTTTAGTTGTAGATAGACACAATACCTTTTTATTTTATGTATTTATGTGGTGCTGAGGATCGAACCCAGCCAGTGCATTACACTTGCTAGGCAAGCGCTCTACCACTGAGCCAAAACCCCAGCCCCCAGGTGCAGCCTCTCTTGATCATAAACACAAACAAGGCTCTGGCTCACCCTTTGCTTTGAACACATCACAATCCTTGGCTGGCCACTCATCTAAATCCACAAGCCCATGAGTCTCAAAGGATAGCTGAAACACTTCTGCCGGACCTCCTCATTTTCCTCCAGCCTGAATCTTGAACTTTTCTTTCTCTTCTGGTTTTTACCCTTTCTCTTCCTTACCGTTCTTTCCACCTTCCCTTTCACTTCCTGTCCAGCTGTTGATCCTGATTAAGTTCCATTTTCCAATTAGGAAGGTGCCCATTTGGCTAACTAGAGCTCTCTTCATGGGACACTGCCTCTCAGTCACCTGCCAGAAGGCCACTTGTCAGCATACACTGGCAGGACTGTCCCATGCTTTAATCCTAAAGGCAGAAACTCCCTATACCCAGAACTATTGCAGCTGATGGTGCCCACAAGTGGATAGGAATATGATCGATGTTCGTTTATGAGCTTATGGTTAGTAAATAAATGTGGGAGCATTGTGCATTTCCCTAAAGAAACATCACCACAGACAGACACAGGTGGTTAGTTTATATACTTCTTCACAGCATTCCTCCAGCTGCTCAAACTTCGATGGCTTTCTTTGCAGAATTTTCCTCATGATGTAGTACTCTTGAGAATTCTTAGGGATTCTTGAGAAACTTAAGGTCACTTAGATTCCTGGTCAGGTTCTGAATCATCTTTCATGTTGATCCTTCCTTTGCTTTTGAGGGATTGAAAGATATCAGTGGTAGAGTGCTGGCCTGGTGTGCCCAAGTTTGATCCCCAGCATTCCACCACCATCATCGAAAAAAAGATATGTGGTTCTCAGTTTACTTTTTTCTCTGGATTTTTTACTTGTGAATATATCTTCCCTATCATCCCAGATGGTCAGTTTGTAGGGCCAGCAATGTTCTTGTGCCCATGGCACCTAGAAGTATTTTTTTGCATGTTGGTAACACGGAGCAAATTTGTGCTGACACTATGTGTGTGTGGAGGCCTGGAGCTAATAGCCTCTTGGGGAAGAGACTGAGAGCATTGGAAAGAGTTTGTGTTCTCTGGGTTTTCAGCCTGGTTCCTTTGGTCTTTGTTTGAGTGAACACTATGGAATGTCTCTTGGAGCCAGGGATTGGGGAGCATGTGAGATCCCAGGAATGAGACAGTAGAGAAACCAGTGGCAGCAAAATGGGAACAGTGCTGCCAAAGGGGCACCCAGAGGCAGCTAGGAGAATCTGCAGAAGGCTCACAGAAGGACAACATGTCACACAGATGTCACATATCTGGGAAAATTGAGTGGTTGGGGGAAGCTCATTCCTGACCAAGGGCACACACCAATGCATGAAGAGTTAGAAGAATCAGAAAGGTGAGTTGGCAGGTATGATTCACACAGGACAGTGGAAATGGCAGGACAAGCAAGCCCGGCACCTTGAATGCAGGATGGTGTAGAGTAGACTGTCCGGAGCCAAGGGAGCAGCTGGTCCAGGGGGAGATTGTGTGTGTGTGTGTGTGTGTGTGTGTGTGTGTGTGTGTGTACATGCATATGCACCTTGTACACAGTACACAGAATCAGACTGATACTTCTCAGCAACCCCATGAATCTGGTGGTTGTTTCCCCCATTGCCAGGTGAGGAAATTGAGACAGTGTCCATGGGAACCAGAGCCTCTGTACCTCCGCTTTATATTGCAGATTTTAGTCTGATGATATAACCAGCTATTAGAACCTCCCTAGCCCACTCATCTCCTCACACCTGGTCAGGTGGGAGTTTGTTGTTCAATGCACATTGGGATAAATTCTTTCAAATCATCTTCTCAGAAGAACTGAATGGATTCTAATCCTTGCTTTTTAAATCATCAGGTCTCTGCCCTTCACAGACGCATAGAGGCCATTGCCGAGGTGGCTGCAATGTGTGGAGTCAATATCATCTGTTTCCAGGAAGCATGGAGTAAGTCTTTTGTGATGCTTTCTCAGCTGCCTTCAAACAATTGTGTCTTCTCTCCATGTTGTCAAGAGTGTCTGCTACCCTATTTAAAAAACACCACCACCAACAAAAATAAACAAACAACAACAAAACCAAAACTTCTTTCTATAGAAAGACCATTTGTCAACAACACCAGAATCCCAGGAAACCTGGCCTCCCTCTCTCACACAGGCTCTACTCGGTCATTTGATCCTTTCACTTCTGTCTTTCACATCTTTTTGAATCCCTTTACTCCTCCCTCCCTCTGTACCACTGCCCTGGTCCAAGCCACCAAATCTCTCTCAGTTTTTTTTTTTTTTTTTAAATGATAGGCATGCAACCCAGGTCCTTGAGCATGTAGTCAACCACTGAGCTACACCTCCTAGTCTTCTCCTCAGCTTTTATAATTACCTCTCCTGATGATCTCCTTAAACCCTCTTCCTCTGGCCTCTCTTAACCTTGCTTTACCTTCAGATCTTAACTCAAATCCAGTTAGCCTGCCTATCTAAAATCGAGTCCTGTTATATGCATTCCTGGTACCATGTGCTTTTCCTTTATGTTATTTTTTTTGTTTATTTTTATTGAAATTATATGTGCTTGTGGTTTAGACTCAAAATAGGTCTGTAAGGTCTGTTACCAAAAAAAACAAAAAACAAAAAAACAGCTGTTCTCCTCCCGCAAGGCATCTTCTTTCTACACTTAGCTTGTTCTTTGGAATTTACCTTTGTTTCTATAGTTACTTCCTAATTTTTCAGTTTTACGTCATTCATGGACTTCCCACTATAGAAGTGCTTTGCCTCCTCATGCCCGCCTCTACATACATGTATCCTTCCTCGTCTATTCTCCATTCGGGGTTTCCACTGAGCCATTTTGATTTCTTTTCCTGAATAATTTTTTGTTTTCCCTGCAGCGTGATTTGTTTTCTACATACTTAACCACAAGTTCAACTCCATACTTTCTCCTAAATTCCCTTAACCTGTTTAGACACATCAAGCAGTCTATCAATTTCCTCTCCTTAAAGAAATCTGTCCCAGAACCTTCTAACTGCTCCAGTCTGAATTAATTGCCCCACCTGCTGGTCACACAACTGATCCATTCATCATCCTGAGGAGTCTGTTTTTAGGATCATCATCCTGAGGCGTCTTCTTTCCTTCCTCTTTCTGATTACTCATTTGGGTGGAATGGCCCCCTGAGTAATCAGAAAGAACACATGGGAGAAAAATGTTCTGGGACCTTGCACATCTTAAAATATGTGTCTTCTACAATTTGCTTGATTGTTTGGGTAGGTATCAAATGTGAGGTTAGAAATAATTTTCTTTCAGAAGTTTAAACACATGGCTTCATGGCTTCCTAGCTTTGAATGTTGTTGACTAGCCCAAAGCCATTTTAATTTATGACCTATTGTCTGTGACTTATTTTTCTCTGGATGATTATAGGATCTTCTCTTTTTGGCTAATGCTCTGCAATTTCATAATAATGTCCCATTGTGTGTACCTCTCTCCATCGTTATTCTAGGCACTCAATGGATTCTTTCAGTCTAGAAACTTGGATCTTGCAAATCTACATTTTCTTGTATTGTTTTATTAGATCTTTTCTCCTGTCAAAAGACAAAATTACAATAAGCATAGTTTGAAGTTCTTAATTGACTTGGTGAGTCTAGAATCAGGCAACACTGCATTCCAATGAGCTGAGAAGAAAGAGGTTGGCTTTATAAAGGAGAAGGGCTGAATCAAGTAGAAACAAAGAACAAAGAGAGGATTGGTTGCTTCAAAGTTACTTTCCTTGAAAGGCAGGAGACAGGAAGATAGAACAATAGAAAAATAACTGAAAATAGTTAACATCACATTACTTCAGATTAGTTTTGTGGTAAAGATTAAAGTAGAGGGAATGACAGTATCATGCTGGCTGAAATTGGTCTGTTTTGGAGATTTGGCTATCATTTCTCTTTCTTAAGGTTGGATAACAACTTAGTTTCTGTTTGGTGATGTGGAACTTTAGTATCAGTAATGCCATTTTGATTTTTAGACTGGTCCCTTATTCAACTTCTTCCTTTTATGGGATTGGAACTGCCCCTCATGTGTTGAGGCCTACCATGGACACCCTCCTCCTTGGTGGGGCCCCGGAGATTCTCTCTGGCAGAACCGAGCACTTTGTCCTGCCAGGTTGTGCAGCCATCCCAGGTCACAATCTATCTCTTCCTCTTTAGGCTGGCAATTTCCAAGGACAGAACCACGTCAGAGTCAGGAGCCTGGCTCATTGAGTGGTCCATCATGCCTTACCCTTTAATTAGAAAACTATGGTTGGGGCATTATAGCCCCTGACCTCACCCAGCCTCCATTCCTTATCTCCATTCCTCTTGAAGGTTTGTTTATGTTGGAGTATTTGTGTAAACAGGAAATAAAAGCCATTAAAAGTGGAAATGGAGACTTTTGGAGGCCTTAGTGACTTGAAATGAAATCAGTATGGGAGATTGTATTCTCTAGGGGCACTTAGTCATTACTAATGCTCTGAAAGCTGAGAATTAATGGCCACTAAAGAGCATTTTTGTTATCAACAGCTTTTTTGTCATCTTCCTTAAAATAGTGCATCTGTCTTCACCTCACCAAAGGGACACAGGGGAGCCGTAAGTCTGGTACCAAGGCTCTTGGGGGTGGTTGTTGGCAGCACTTGCTGCCTGTTTGGGGCACGGAGAGGCTGCCGGTACCATGGGTGGTGTGTTCACTCCGGTGCAGTCCTAGGACCAGGCATCCTGGGACTAGAGGGATTAGGAAGCTGAGGCTTCTCTTTCTACACAACTGTTTCTGAGGGTGTCAGAGAAGACCTGTCCCTTAGCACAACTGGTGTTGGGGSGGGGGGAATATTATCTACCATCGTGGTTTTAAAATAGGCCACAAACCCCCATGCCAAGGCAGTTGAACACCATAAAGTCACATCATGAAGCATCCTGCAGATGTTTCTCTAAAGTTGGTTTGTTCAGAACTGGTAGAACAATCGCAGACATTTAGAAATGCATCTAGAAAGTGGTCGAATGCTTGCCTATCGTGTGTAAGGCCCTGAGTTGGACATCCAGCACTACAAAACAAAACAAAAACCAGTTAGTTTAATGAAATTTTCTACTGAATTAATTCCCTGGCAGGGTCTAGCCAAAGATCATGGGAATAATGCATTTATCTTTGAACATGCTCATTCTCATTTCTGAAGAAGCCTCCTTGTCCCTGGGAGAAGGAGGGTCCCAATAGTGATCTCCTGTAGCTGAGCTGAGGAGCATACCCAGAGGCTGTGGGTGATAGAATTCTAACCTTTCTCCCCTTTACAGCTATGCCCTTTGCTTTCTGTACAAGAGAGAAGCTTCCGTGGACAGAATTTGCTGAGTCAGCAGAGGATGGGCCCACCACCAGATTCTGTCAGAAGGTAAGACATTAACTGCTCCTCCAAAAAGAGCTACTGAACCTGCATGGGTCACAGAGCATGGCCCAGCTGTGGCTCTTTGCCACGGAAAATGTAACTGTTTGGTGCTTGTTTTACCAGTTAAAGTAGATAAGACTGTTTGCCACCTCTTTTTTTTTTTTTTTTTTTAAGTGTATGTTCACTTAAAAATCATAGACCTTCAGAGCTGTAATTTACGTTTGTGGCTTTTTCAGGTAAGGAGGCTGTACCTCCTATAGAGGTGGTCTATGACTTGTTTGTGGCTTTTTCAGGTAAGGAGGCTGTACCTCCTATAGAGGTGGTCTATGACTTCTATAGTAAGTCCAGGGACATCGATTCTTTGTCCAGAGTTTTGCTTACTCCAGTCGCCATTTGCTTGCGTCATATAGGTTTTGACGCGTGACCTGTCTCATTAGGTAGAAATTTGTTTTGATTTCTTTTTTATTAAAACATCATAACACATGTGATATAATCCCATTTATATGAACTGCCCAGATAAATATCTAGAGATGGAAAGCAAATTTGTGGTTGCTAGGGTCTGGTTTAAGGAAAGAAGGGGAGTAGCTACTCATGGGGATAGGATTTCTATGAGTAGCTGGGGTGATGAAAATGTTCTAAAATTAGATCATGGTGATGGTTACCACAATTCTGTGAATCTACTAAAACCCACTGAATTTCATACTTTAAAAGAGTATGTGAATTATGTCTTAATAAAGCTGTTATCAGAAAAACCCGTAACAGCTGGGTGAGGTGGCTCATACCTTGTAATCCCAGCGGCTCAGGAGGCTGAGGCAGGAGGATTGCAAGTTCAGATCCAGCCTCAGCAACAGCGAGGTGCTAAGCAACTCAGTGAGACCCTGTCTCTAAATAAAATACCAAATAGGGCTGAGGATGTGGCTCAGTGGTTGAGTGCCCCTGAATTCAATCCCTGGTACCCTGAAAAAAGAAAAAGTGATGGATATTAACTTATCCTTATTCTCATCCATAATGAAGGAACTCCTCTCATTTTTCTGTCTTCTCTTTCAGACTTCATATATCCTTAAAAAGTTGGGGGACAGAGCTATAATCATAGTGATTTTATCAATATTAAGTTGTGATTCTAAATATCAGTATTTTCAGACTATAGGGGGAAAACAATCTCTTGTTTATCAGGTTGTTGATTCCTTGCTATGGAAAAGAGAAGGGGACTCCTTAGGGGGCTGTTGCAGTTCATAAGTCTGAGCTAGGGCTAGAAGAAGGGCGTGAATGAGATCTGGTGCCAGTCAACATCAAAGGGACCAGAGGTTCAAGGTCACCCCTTAGGGATGTAGCATTCTGCTATGGCTAAAATGTGTTCCCCAAAGTTGATGTGTTACAAACTAATCCCCAATGTAAGAGTTGAGAGTGGGGATGAGCCACCGTGCCTGGCCCATCTTACCCATTTTTACATGTACAGTTCAGTAAAGTATTTTCACATTGTAGTGCAACAAATCTCCAGAACTTTTGCATCTTATAGATCTGAGACTCTGAACCCATTACACAATAGCTTCCCTTTCCCCTGCTCCCAGCCACTATCAACCACCATTCTATTTTTTCTTCATGTGATGTGATTACTCTATCTTATATAAGTAAATCAGAGAATATTTGTCCTTTTTTGACTTACTGGTTTCTTTTTTATTTTTATTTTTAAATTTTATTTATTTATTTATTTGTTTTGTGGTGCTRGGGATCGAACTCGGGCCTTGTGCATACAAGGTAAGCACTCTACCAACTGAGTTATATCCCCAGCCCTCTTTTTATTTTTTTAACCTCTATCTTATTGATTTATTTTTATGTGGTGCTGAGGATTGAGCCCAGATGCTCTACCACTGAGCTACAACCCCAGCCCCTTGACTGGCTGATTTCAATGAACATAATGTCCTTAATGTTTATTCATGTTGTAGCATGTAATAGGCTTTCCTTTTTTCTTTTGAGGGTGAATAATATTCCATTGTATGGATAGACCACATTTTGTTTACCTATTCATCTGTTGATGGATACCTGAGTTGCTTCTATCTCTTGGCTATTGTAAATAATGCTGCTATGAATCTGCATGTAGAATTATCTTTTTGAGTCCTGCTTTCAGTTCCTTTGGGTATATATCCAGAAGTAGGATCATATAATTCTATATTTAATTGAGGGGTGGGTGTGGGAAACCTCTATAGAGTTTTCCATTTAATGTTCTTACCAGCAGAGCACAAAAATGATTATTATGGGCTGAGGATGTGGCTCCTCAGTAGTAGAGTGCTCACCTAGCATGTGTGAGGCACTGGGTTTAATTCTCAGCACTGCGTAAAAATAAATAAATAAAACAAAGGCATTGTGTCCATCTATAGCTAAAAAAGATATTTTTCAAAAGAATAGTGATTATTCTTGTTTAGTTAACCATGGGCATCAGGATGATAATGACATTTAGTGTTCCTGACAACTGCTATGAGTGATAGCTCCAAACCAAACCCAATTATTTAATAGAATCATTCAATTCTTCTCCAATAAAAGAACTTTAATAGGCTGGAGTTGTGGCTCAACGGTAGAGTGCTCGCATAGCACATGCAAGGCCCTGGGTTCAATCCTCAGCATCACATATAAATAAATAAAATAAAGGTACTGTGTCCAAATACAATTAAAAAATAAATATTTATWAAAAAAGAACTTTAACCATTGATTTGAAAGTAGAACTCTGAATTATTTGTATTTCCAGCTAGCAAAGAAGCATAACATGGTGGTGGTGTCCCCCATCCTGGAACGAGACAGAGATCATGGGAATGTTCTGTGGAACACAGCCGTGGTGATCTCCAATTCTGGAGCAGTCTTGGGAAAGACCAGGAAAAACCATATCCCTAGAGTGGGAGATTTCAATGAGGTGAGCTGCACCACTGTGCTTGCTCTTTAGTCTACAAATCTCACTGGGCTTTCTGTGTGGAATAACGTGGTGCCATGTAATGCTGGAATAGTATGGATGTGACGCTCAGAGGGTCTCATGATGTTGCCATGCATCACACAAGCAGATGATATTCAGACATTATCTGGCAGGTGAGCCGCAGACACCTGGAACACAGTGAAATTTTTATACATTTTTAAACTATAACCTGATATGACTTCTTGAAACTATCCTTTGCAGTAAGTGGTACTTAAGTTAAAACCAAAATAGTGCACAAATATGAAATGATTCCTGAAGCCCCTTTCAGGATCTGAGCACCTAGCCCACCATAGTCCAATCCTAGTTTTGGGGGTAGCATTGCTCGTCTGTGGCTCCCATGGTGTCTGAGTTGGCCCAAGTCCGTGTATTGGGTGATAGGGTGTGAATATGTCTATGTGTGTTACATGAGACTTCTCATTCCTGTTGTCAGGGCATAAGTCAGGGACTGTTTTGATTGGTTCATGTCAATTCATAGGTGAGTGAGATGGAGGGAGTGGATATTGGAAGAAGGGAAATGAACTCCACCTAATGCCTAAGATACTAAATCTGAATGATTTTCAGTAAGTGCAGTTTCAGTCCTTGGTCCTCCCTCTGCAATCACAGGGCTCTCAGCTACTCTTATGCTGGTTGGGAAGACAAGAAATCATTTACAGGGCTAGAAGAGGTTCCCCAGGAGAGAGAAGAACCCAGGTTTCACAGTAACAGCTGGAGGTGGATGTGGGAAGACATGCCCCTCACCTGTTTACCCTCTGATTAATTTTTAGCTCCCACAGATAGCAGAGGGCAGGTCTCAGAACAGGATATGCTCTGGCGTCTGCCACGTGTGTATATCCCGGTTGCTTCCTGATCCTCATCAATTTTGAAATGAATGAGAAGAAACAAAGGCTCCAAGGCAGACCTATTTGGAATCCACCTTTCCCCTCTATCTTCGCTTAATGTTGTCCCTGATACTGTTCCACAGCTGGGAGAGCTCCCCTCTGTCTGCCCTGCAGGTTTATCCTTAACCCCTGGCAGGAGGCTTAAGGCGTTTTTTGTGGGCTCCACTCTCAGATTTGGCCTTAATCAGTTAAGTAAGTCTCATGGCTACTCAGGTGACAGTTTTCTCTTCCAAATAGGAAGAGGATTGCTTTGAATGAGTACAAGTTTCTTCAGCTGCAGACTTCTGTATAAGGACATATGGTTGGTGTAGACATCAGTTAACTCTTGTTAGCATGGATCAAACCTCAGCCTTTACTTGAAACCTCACCATAGTTTATCCTTAAGTTGCTTCATCAGAGATTTTTTTTTATTGGTTGTTCAAAACATTACAAAGCTYTTGACATATATTTCATACATTAGATTCAAGTGGGTTATGAACTCCCATTTTTACCCCAAATACAGATTGCAGAATCACATCAGTTACACATCCACATTTTTACATAATGCCATATTAGTAATTGTTGTATTCTGCTACCTTTCCTATCCTCTACTATCCCCCCTTCCCTCCCCTCCCATCTTCTCTCTCTACCCCATCTACTGTAATTCATTTCTCTCCTTGTTTTGTGTTTTTTTTTTTCCCATTCCCCTCACAACCTCTTACATGTAATCATCAGAGATTTTTGACATGTCACAAAGGAGACTGTGGGCAAATGTTTAAACCAGAGTGATTTTCCTTTGGGGTTGGTTGGTTATTATATCTGGATTTGTGTGTTTGTCTGTGTGTGTATGTATCTGTTAACACTGAAATTCTGGAACTTGTAGAGTCTACACCCAAGGGTGTTACTTTTAGACTACTAGTCATATTTTTCTGTTGCATCTAAGGAAAGTGAAATTCTTGAAGTCTGAAGCATCAATATGTGGTCCTTTGTTTTTGTTTTTCAGTCAACCTATTACATGGAAGGAAACCTGGGCCATCCTGTGTTCCAGACCCAGTTTGGCAGGATCGCAGTAAACATTTGCTATGGGCGACACCACCCTCTCAACTGGCTCATGTACAGCATCAACGGGGCTGAGATCATCTTCAACCCCTCAGCTACCATTGGAATACTCAGGTCACTCAGCGGGCAGGATCTTGGGGGCTTCTTGGGGCCCAGAGACCATCTCCTCCAAAGGCTGGGCTGTGGGACTTAGAGATACGTTTGGTAAACTGCAGCAGGCAGGTGCAGCCACTAGGATGTCTAATAGACCTGAGCCCTAGATTGTATGTTGGCACATTTGACCTGCTTTTCAGTGAAAAGACTTCTCAGGATGACCATTACAAGCACCATCTCCCCAAAGAATCACTTGCTCTCCTCTAAGACTTAACTTTTGCTATGATTCTGAACACTGAGATGAAAATAATAATCCCTACCCTCCTCTGCATTCATCAAGATTCAGAAAGCCTCATTTTTAAGTCTTGAAGCCCAGTAGGTGCCTGACCAGTGTTAGCTCCTGGACAGGGAGGTTACAGATTCCTGATCCTCAAATCTACAGTGTCCACAGGGGAGAATGGAAATCCAGATGAGAAAGGGAACAGGTGAGGGAATTGGAGCCCAGATGATACTCAAGAGATCAGTCCAGGTGGGGGCTGTGATTGTAATCCAGTGCTTGACTAGCATGTGTGAGACATTGGGTTCAATCCTCAGCAGCACATAAAAATAAATAAATAAAGGTACAAAAAATACAATAATATTATAAAAAGAAAGAGAGAAAGATCAGTCCAGGAAACTAGTGTTTAACCAGCAAAGTGTTCTCCTTTAATAACATCTAACAGCTAGTATTTGGGTGTCAGCCCTATCCTTTAACAAACAAAACTACTCTGGTTAAGGCAGCACTGGGAGCTGGGATTGGGGTGGCCCAGACAGCCCCTAACGTCATGGGTAGTACCCCTCAGGGCCGCATAGTAAATAAGCAAGTGAGATAAAATAGCAGGATGTGGTGACATGCCTGTAATTCCAATGACTAGGGAGGCTGAAACAGGAGGATTGTAAGTGTGAGGTCAGCCTCAGCAACTTAGCAAGATTCTGTCTCAAAAAAAAAAAAAAAAAAAAAGAACTGGGGATGTAGCTCAGTGGTGAAGAAATGTTTCTGGCTTCAATCTCCTGTACTGGGGCGGGGGGGCGGGAAACCCTACACACTCGTGCCTCTGCCATTTGGCTCTTCCTCTACGTCTGAGCATTTGGGTGACTTCCAGGTTTGCATCATTACAAGTAACAGAGCTCTAGGAATTTATGTGCAAATACTTCTCTCCCCAACTCACTTCCTCTAAAGCAGAGTGCCTGCAGCAGGAGATGCTGGCATCTACTCTCTGAGGTCCTTGTTGCCTGGGCTGGTCCTTACTTGGGGGGACAGGCAGGGGTAGGTCTGATGGGCAACTTTGAGATTTCTGTCAGTCCACACTGTCCCTCTTGCACAGCAGGTCTCTGATCAGGTCATATTGCAACCCCTAATCTCTTACCTCAGGTCCACCACCCTGTATGTGCACCTGGAGGGCTAGTCCACATCCAGCAGGGGTGCTGTAGAGTAGAAGGAGAAAATCAGGCCTTGAATCTTCCCTTCAGTAAAGGCATATTCCGCAGAGAATATACCAGGGTTCCAATGGTGGCTTGAACACCAGTATTAATTAATCACCAGAGCTTTTGAGGTGGTCATTGGTTCCAGCCCYCAGGGCAGAACCTTGGGACCACCCTCAAGGGTATCACCCTCCTTCAGACCTTCCAAGAGTTAAGTCTCTCCTTCAAGGATCCCTAGAGGAAACAAGTCAACCCTGGGGTACGTGGTCRAGAATTGACTTCTGAGTCAAGGCAAGCAAAGCTGTGGCCGCAGACCCAGACAGCAGCCTCAACATGCGTATGCCTGCGGAGGTCCTCCCTGGCCTTACTATCTTGGGCTTTTATTAGCCCCAATTAAGCAAACAGAAATGTCCCAATGTAATAGGCACATAACTGCTTATGTCCTCAGCAGCTTATTAGGCTTATTAAAAATGATTGATTTTCTTTCCTCAGCCAAGAATCCTTCAACCCTTGGCTTGCAAGGGTGTGGTGAGGCCAGCCATAAAAACCCGTGGCAGGTCTTCGGGAAATAGGAATGTTTCWTGAGCTCCTAAACTGTTCATGCCCTTTGGCCAGATAATGATACTCTTGGAACTGTAGCCTGAGGAAGTGAAGAGAACAAGGCTGTGCACATGATGTTTATGGCAGTGTTATTTATAATGGAGGGAGAGGGGATGGCAGCAGGAGAAATGTCAGGCTTAAGTAAATTTTAGCTCATCTCTTCCATGGGTTATTACCACTAAAAAGAGTCATTATGAAGATAATGAAGCATCACAACAGAAGCCCATGAGCAATAAAAAGATGTATCCAGGCTGTGGTCAGAACTCTGTAAAAATTTTTGGCCTGTGGACAAGGATAGTTGTAGAGTATGGAAAAATGACAACAKGTGGTTTACTAGGAGGGCAGGGATTCTGGGTAATTTTCTTAAAACAATCAATGATTATTTGAAGAACTGATATTCTTAGTACAATGCCAGGCAACCTCTCACATTGGATCACAACTTCCAGAATCATCTATCCCCTGCTTGCTCTACCAGAGACAGACAGATACACATGAGTGCCTGAACTGTGGGTCAGCAAGGTGTCCTTGCTCATTTTTGTGTCCACGATAGACCGTAAGTGCTTTTTTATTCACTGAGTCATGCTGGCAATCCCAGGATGTATCCGGCAGAGCCCATGTGACCAAAGATTCCTGCTCTGTATGTTCATGCATCAGAAAGTCTGTTTCTCATCCCCTTGCTACATTTGGCCTTCCCCCTGGTATTATTTTTAGGGGTTTGCGTGCGATACACTGGGAATATGTCAAATGCCCTTGTCCCCACACCAGACTCTTCAAGATTCCTGCACACAGCCGACTCTCGTGATCCTCCAGCTTCCTTTCTTTGGTGGTTTTGAGAGCATACATTTCATTGCCAGCTGTGGGTTTGAATCCTACACAGAACACCTCCCTGGAGAATTATAAGAAAGATACTTTATGGCAATCACCCCACAAGTGTCTTATTTAATTCCTGAAAATGTCATCTATGGGTGTGTTTCTGTAAAAATCTTTTCTTAAAAGTTTTGTCAGCTTGGCTTAGCAGGTGGGGGGAAAAAAAGCAAAATGAGTTCCCTCAATCAAGCCAGTGATTTCCTCCCCCCRCCCCATTTCCAGACTCATGAATCCTCCTGAGCATTAGGCATATGACAAGCACCCACCCCCTCCACCTACTCCCTGGTTTAAACCAGGTGCACACTGACAGGAAGGAAGATTCTGGGGCATTTTGCTCCCAGGCACTCAGTGTTTGTAAGTGGGCATCGCTTCTGCCCATCTAGAATTTAAATAATGCTGTTTCTCAGACAGGAGATCGTCAATGAGCAGAAGGCCCACTGAATTCCATGGCCCATCTTGGCTGGAGGGCTGGAGAAGGATGGGGTCTGTGGTTGGGAAGAGGTCTCTCACTGCACTCTCCCTTTGGTGGGTGCTGGACTGAGGAAGGCTCACAGCTCAGCTGTGCCTGTAGGGTATCCAGTTAGGGAACCAGGGAGTTTCTGCTTACAGGTGCATGGTTCAGAGTAGAAAAATAGGAAGGCACTGGGAAACAAGGACCAAACTCAGAGGTTATAACTCTGCTACAAGATATGACTCCACATAACAAGACATATCCTAAATTCCTTTCTGGTTACTCTGTCTGAAATCTCCCCCCTTGGAGACTGATTTGCAAGGTAACATAGCACGGTAGGAGAGTTAGGGTGGGGCAGAGAAAGTCCATGCTCCGCCCTCACAAGCCAAACACACAAGCCAAACAAACACCCAAGATCCCAAGGTTCCAACTCCCTTCTGACATTTATCAGGAGAAGTTCTTCTTAGCCCAGCATAGAAAACAGATTCCCAGAAGGAAGGAAGAATATAGGAAATGATAGCTATGGAAGAACCACCATGTGGAGCTTCGTCACAATCTCCTTTTGAGGAAGTTTTGGAGAGGGAAACTGAAGCTCAGGATAAGGATTTGATCCTTCTGATAGTCAACCACAGCCTTGTGGCTTCTGCCKGTAGTAGGCCCTCCCCAGAACACTTTGTGGGCTTAAACAAGTTGCTGAGGACAAGTTTGGTCTTCTTTCAGGTTTGAGGTGACCCTTGGGCATAGTAAGTCTCCCTGGCTGTCCCCACTCTAGGTCTTGGAAGGCCAGTAACCAGCTGCAGCTCCAGGCTGAGCATCCACTGAGTCTGGCTAGAGAGTTGGCAAACTTGTTCCTCCTTTTCCTCTTTTACAGTGAGTCCCTATGGCCAATTGAGGCCAGAAATGCTGCCATTGCCAATCACTGCTTCACTTGTGCCATTAACCGAGTGGGCCAGGTAAGTCTCTGAGGTATAGATGATTAAAGGAGCCACTGCTGGTGGTTGTAGTGGAGACATATCACATGTTTATTTTGCATACATGTCATAAATCTGGAAGGGGACAAAGCAACTTGGTTTGTGATTTCTGTTGTTGCATTTAGCTGAAACAATTCTGAAAGGATCTTTGATCTGACCTCATTCTCTCACTTCTAAGTATCCAGTTTGTTATTGTCCCCACACATCAGTGGACCCCACCCACTGAACAGTCTTGACTACCAAACATAACGCATTTATCACCTAATAATCCTTTTCATCATTCTTATTAATCACATGTCAAACTCTGATACCTTTAATTTTTTTGTTCCCCCCTCCTCTCTTTTTCCCCCCCAGGGCCAAGGACCAAACTCAGTCAGGGCTTTGCGMATGGCAAGCACTCAGCCACTGAGCCAAATCCCCAACTTCACAGGTCAAACTCTGCTCAGAGCATCTGATTAGTTTGAGATAACGAATTTTTCCACACTAAGTCTATATGGTAAAATGCTTGCCTGGCATGAATTAGGCCCAGTACTGCTAAAAAAAGAAAGGACGGAAGAAAGGAAGGAAGGAAAGAAGGAAGGAATGGAGGGAGGGAAAACCCTGATTTTTAAAAAATGTTTTAAAACTGTAGATGGACACAATACATTTTTTAATTTATTTTTATGTGATGCTAAGGATCAAACCCAATGCCTCACACATACTAGGTAAGCTCTCTACCACTGGGTTACAACCCCAGCCCCAAATGCTGATGTTTTGGTTAGCCTGTGTGATCCCATCACAACTTGATGTATAAATTTCATTAAGCTTTAGAGAAAATATTAAAACAGTATATGAGGGCCCTCTCCTCCACCTTTCATGTCTTCACAGACCCCAGGCTGAGGTCTTACTGCTTCAGGAAGGCCAACTTCATATACTTTCCACAGCCCTGAGAACTGATCAGTGCCCAATGTGTTTCTTTTCTCCCAAACTATAAACTCCCCAAAGGCAAAATCCAGGTCTTCACCATGCTTGTCAAATTCTCCACTGGCTGCCTAATCCTGGGTGCTCAGAAGGACATTTAACAAGTATCTGTTGATTGCCCATAGAGAACAGACCCTGCATCTTACTTTCACTATTTCCAAGCTAACTCCCTGTGGTCGGGCTTGCTATTCTTGGTCTGGCTAAGTGTTCTGGAATGAACATTGTGGTGGTGCCACCTATGGGTTTCTCTTATACTCTACTCTTACTTCACAGGAGCACTTCCCCAATGAGTTTACCTCTGGAGATGGGAAGAAAGGTATGTTCCGTGTACTTTCATGGTGATGGGTCTCATCCCCCACTTCTCTGTTTGCTTCCTCTGGGCAAGGTCTGTCTCATAGCCTGTATCTGCATGCCTGGCRACTAGGAGGAGGTGCTGACTTCTCTGTTTTGTTGCCCTCTGTGGGGGAATCTGACGGTGGCCAGGATGACTGTGGCCAGGTCCTGGACATGTGTCCACTTTGTTCCCCAGATAAGGAGCAAATGGGAATTATATTAGACTCCATTCCTTCACTGGGATTGGTGTAAAGATGGACTGAGGAGATGTAGGGGAGCTCTTTGTGAGCTCCTGAAAATGCTGAAGGGCTGTCTTGCAGCTTTCAGACCTCCCTCTCTCCTTTCCTTTGTCCCCCCCTCAGCTGTACAAATGCCCCTCAAGTCAGCATGGATTGCCTGAGTTTCTAGGATCTACGGCTTGTTTTGATCTAAGGGAAGGTAACACCTCACCTCTGCTAGGACTACTACACCCTTAGGTCCCACTTTCTAGGCACTGATGTGAGGGAAAAGCTGTCCCCTCAGCAAGGAGGTGTCTGGAGGGGCCTGAGCAGATATGTTTCCCAAGAAAACACATACTGGAGGGGTCTTAAAGCCTTCCACATGAGGTCTTGGACTGTACCCCAGATCCACACTCCAGTCTCAGCTTCCTGCTGACAAAAGAGCAAAAGAGGCAGGGAAATAAGAGTTGGGGTCATGCTGGGTAGGCCCTRCCCTGCAGCCCACTACTCTTCACATGCCTGTGGAGTGGCTCTTAGCACCCCGTGACTCATGAGAGGACCAAGATGTGGAGTGGGKATGAAGTGACCTAGTTGTCATGACAAGTAGGGCTAGAGTCTCCAGTTTACCGARTGGGCCACCACAGGAAACAGGCCTCACAGGAAGCCCCTAGAGCCCCCGAGGCTTGTATTGTGGGTAGCTGATGGGAGTCAATACCTCTAAAGGGTGACCTTTAGAAGTTTTCTCAGTGACTGTGGGAAGTGACACAGGAGTGACCTTTACAACCACCTACTGGGCCTTCAGGTCTGAGAAGGGAGACAGGCCCTTTGAATTTCTGCATTTGGAAGATGCTGGGGAAAGACGTATGCACATCTTGTCTTGAGCATCCCTTAATGCACCTGCCTCTCCACAGACCTTACATTGTGTCTGTACAAACTCATGGCCTCTTCCATTTGCTTCTTAAAGCTCACCATGACTTTGGCTACTTTTATGGCTCAAGCTATGTGGCAGCCCCTGATGGCAGCCGGACTCCTGGGCTCTCCCGTAGCCAGGACGGGCTGCTGGTTGCTGAGCTCAACCTCAATCTCTGCCAGCAGATGAGTGATGTCTGGAACTTCAAGGTGGGTCCTCAAATTCCTTCCTGTTACCCTGCTCCTCTTTTTTTGGCCCTCATTCTGCTCACAGAGCTGTGAACCGCAGTTAACGGTGTTTTCCCTCAGAGACAGCTTACAGAAGGTGCCTTCTTTAGCCCTAGGAGCTCCATGTTGGGCCTGGTCTCTGCCTCCCTGCGGGCTGTGGGGAGGAACTATTGGATCAAACAATGCACAAACAGCAGGCCTCCATAAATTCTCTCATCTGATTTAGATTTTAGGTGCCTTCAAACAAATTAATCTCAATTTCATTTGTCCAGAGAATAGAGTGGATTGCTTGTCTAATCCTTTTTCCTTTCCAGGCATTTGCACTTATCACAAGATAAGTGTGCATGTCTGGTTCTGCCTGCAGCCAGGCCCCACAGTCTGGCCTTGACAATAGTGGGAAATGGGTCACACAGAGAAATGGGATCTGGGCCTGGCTCTGCCTTCTGTCAGTCACCCTAAGCAAGCACCTTCTGCTCCCAGGCCTTAGGACTCCCAGATGTAAAATGAGAGGCTTAACTCACATGCTGCCTGCTGCCTTTGAGACTGATACTCTGTGGCATCAAGGGTTTGAGAGGAATGTAGGTACCTGTCATCCCAGGATGGAACAGTGTAGACAAGGACAGGACCCAGGCAGGGTTTATTGTACTCATGCCCAGTAGTATTTCCACCAACTCAGTCCCCATTGATGAGCAAACCACCCAGCAAATGAATGTCACATTGTTATGACTGAATGGCATTGCCTATGTGACTGGGCTCTAGGCCTTACTCCCCTGCTTTCTTAAACATTGGTCCTTGAACACAATCCCCAGTCTCAGATCTTTGCCAGACAAACAAGGTGTTACCCATGACCATCTCTTGACATGCCACTCCTCTTAGATAGCTTAGATTAATGCAGAATTCTACCTAAATCAGAAGTCAGAGCTGAGAATTCCCTCCCTCCCTCCCTTCCTTCCTTCTATCCTACCTTTTTCCCTCCTTCCCTCCCTCCTGTACTAGGGATTGAATCCAGGAGTGTTCTACCACTGAGCTACATCGACATCCTTTTTTTATTTTTTGTTATGTTGTTTTATGGGGTTGGGAATAGAACCCAGGGCCTCATGCATACTAGGCAGCCCCAGCCCCATCCCAGCCCTTTTAATTTTTTATCTTGAGATAAGCTCTCACTAAGTTGCTAAGGCTGGCCTCAAACTTACAATCCTCCTGACCCAGCCTCCCAAACTGCTGGGATTATAGGCATTCCAGCCAGCTCTTTAACAAGTATCACCAGGAGCAGTAAACAGAATGTTTTCTCATCAATTACTTTCTTGAAGCAGAAACATTCCCAGCTGTGGCAATGGGAATGAGCTCCTGCTGAGGCTTTTTGAAGGAGCTGACTTGAGATGGAAGAATGGAAGGCATGCCAGAGACTATCTGTGTCCATAATGAGATGCCACATGGAGCAAACAGACCAAAAACTCAGCCAAGATATCTGGGTTCAAATCCTCAGCCTTTTCCACTCCTGGCTAGTGACCTCTCTGGGCTGTAGGCTGCTCTTCTGAGTTGCTGCAGGACCACATGACACCTCTCCTCCCTCTTCCCTGGGGGCAGACCACATCTCCTGAACAGGCAGGTCACAGAAGTCACCACAGGCTGGAATAGGCTGTATGAATCACTGGAATCAGTGCTAAGAGGTCACAGTGGGGTTGCTTCTCTACATTGGTCTGAAATTGTCCTGTCAACCAGTATTTCTATCTCACGGCTGCCCCCCAGTGGCAAGAAATGGTGGTGAGTAAGTGATAAGTGTTTATAAACAGGAACCTCGAGAAAGTATGTCTGTGTTTTGTTTTCAGATGACAGGCAGATATGAGATGTACGCACGAGAGCTTGCGGAAGCTGTCAAACCCAACTATGTCCCCACCATCGTGAAGGAGTAGCTGTCTTCTGTCCCCATTAGATGAGTAAGTGGGGCAGGCTTCACACATCCAAGTTCTCCCTAATTATGTTACTGTCCAAATGGATTTTTAAATGCCACAGCAGGAGTAAGGTGGAATTGGAATGACTGCTAAATGGGTACAAGGTTTCCTTCTGGAGTGATGGAAATGTTTGGGGACTAGATAAAGGTTATGATTGTGAATATATTAAATACAACTGGATTGCATACTTTAAATGTTTCATTTTATGTTATATTAATTCTACCTAAATTTTTTTAAATGCTTTTTTTTTTCTTTTGGTATTAGGGATTGAACCCAAGGGTGCTTAACCACTGAGACACATCCCTAGCTTTTAAAAATTTTTTTGTTTTATTTTGTATTTTTGAGACAGACAGGGCCTCACTAAATTGCTTAGGGCCTCATTAAATTGCTGAGACTGGCTTTGAACCTGCAATCCTCCTGCCTGAGCTTTCTGAGTCCCTGGGATTATAAGCATGTGTCACCATGCCTGGCACTATCAACTTCTTAAGGGTCAGCATGAGAATCTGTGTGCTGGTGGAAAGAGGTTGAGAGCAGATACAGAGTTGTGGAGCCTACAGTGTGGATGTGGGCAGGTGGTCTTTGGACATTCCAGGTTATTCCCCAGTCATACACTAGCCTAGGTATGTGTAAAGGGTTGTTTTTTGAGAAAGCATCTCACTGTATTTCCCCAGCTGGCCTCCAGGTCCTGGACTCAGGCAATCCTTTTGACTCAGTCTCTCGAGCTGCTACAGGGATGCACTACCAAGCCAAACTTTCTGTGAAGTATTTTGTAGATTCAATTAGAGACCATAACCAATTGACTAAGTAAGTGAGATTATTCCACATCACTTAGGTGGGCCTGAATCAACCCATTAAAAAGTCTATGGCTCAGGCTTCTCTAAGGAAGAGGAATTCTGTATGCCAACCATAGCTCTGGGCCTTGGCAGGAATTCCAACCTGCTTCCCTGACAGCCTGCCCTGTAGCTATTGGACTTGCCTAGCCAKGCCCTACAATCATGAAGTCAGGTCCTTGCAATGAATCTCTTAATGCATATCCTACTGGTTCTGCCTCTCTGGGTCTGACTAATACAGATTTTGGTACCAGAAGTGGTTCCTAAGAAATACAATCTTAAGAATGATTAAGATTAATTTCTGCAATTGATTCTGGGTTATCTGGAATTATTCTCTCATTTGATTATATTTAAAGGCATTAGTGCTTCAGATATAGGCCCCCTCCTTGTGCCTTGCTGTTTCATTGAATCCAGCCCTAGAGACATGATGAGCTTTTTCTGTCTGGCCTTGCCATATCCAAAGTCTTTGTGCCTATAGTTTCT